GGAACCGTAATAAGTCAGGAAATAATTCGTCCCCCAAAGCGGCAACCAATTCGTATCAGAGCGTATCAGAGCTTATTAGAGCATAACATTACTTAGGAGATCGTGATATTTTTGGAAAAGTAAACAAAAATGACGGCGCTTTGCTCGCCGATTTAAACCGCGGCATTCGCCGTTAGTGTGAACGGTGTATAAACAACTGGAAAGCAACTGCTCAAAACGAGCACAAAAACATACAATGTTGCCATAGATCGTGTCAAGTAACAATTTGTAGGGCGGGAGGCGTTCTCATTGCCCGATTGCGAATATGGTGTTTACTCCGACGTTCGACACAATATTGACCAAATTACAACTGGGTGTGCTAGTTTCTCATAGCATTACATGCAAAAAATGAAATACGAAGAAAATATGGTTATGAATAAAAGATCAATAATTCAAATGAATCTCCCCTACATACTGGGGGGCGGGCACAAGAAATATTCTGATTCACAGATCAAATATTTTCATGAGAGAAATCAATAACACAATACACGTTTAAAAACTCAAGGTATATATAAATTGTTCAAAATTGTAACAACTGTTCAAATATATTTACAAGTCCTTTATAATGTCACGGACACGCTTTCGCGCTGCTATTGCAGCCCGGTATTGCAGCTTTCCTCGGCGGTCTTGAGGACGGTGATTTAACAGTGCTGTCCGGTTGAACAATTTCACTTCCCTTGTCGGTAAGAGCTGCTGGCTATCATCGGTGGATATCTCCATCGGGTATAATTTCTGAACCGGGCGGTTTGTTGTGCCTGTAGCGGTACGTAATTCTGCTGCTCGTACTAATCCATCTGGGCCGTTAAATAATTTGGTGACTTCAGCAATGTTCCATTTGAATCGGCGCTTGACGTCATCATGAACGATTACTACGTCACAATCTTTATGGCGTTGTGTTTGCTTCCGTCAGCTGTGAAAGCATGTCTTTTTCGCAATGCCGAGAGATATGCTGTCGACCAGCGCTTCCAAAATTCATCTTGGAGGGCTGTTAACAATTTATATCGACTATTCATTGTGTGGTGATTTCCACGGATTGATTTGTCGAGTTCGTCATCATCAATCGGTGAGTTCGAAAGTGGTTTTAATAGGCGCCCGAAATTGTAAGGTCTTTGTTTGACGGCAATACATAAGTCAAAGGTCGGTTATTGAGAGTTGCTTCAATCTCGGTAAGAATTGTCATGCCGATCAGGCGTTCCCAAAACCCCTCTTGCCAGATAGCTCGTTTGCGGATGAATGTCCACGTTACCTTATTTTCAGCGAGAAATTCTTGAACTTCGGGTGATGACAATAGTTCATGCAATTCGTGCAATGCCGCCAAGTAAGTCGTTGCATTATCGGAAAGAATTTTGGATGGTAGCGATCTTCTCGCTGCGAACCGTCGAAAAGCTAACATGAAAGAGTATGGAAAGCCATGACTGTCTTAGACCATTGTGTGTAATATCCTGCAATGCATTTGCCATTATATGTAACGCGTTCGCCATTATATGCTGTCCATTTGTCATTATATGCAAGTCATTCGTCATTATATGCTGTCCACTTGTCATTATATGTAAGGCACTCGTCACTATATGCTGCCCATTTGTTATAATATGCAATGCATTTGTCATTATATGCAATTCATTCGTCATTATATGCTGTCCATTTGTCATTATATGCAAGGCATTCGTCATTACATGCTGTTCATTTGTCATAATATGCAATGCATTCCTCATTATATGCTGTCCATTTGTTATAATATGCAATGCATTCGTCATTATATGCTGTCCATTCGTCATTATATGCTGTCCATTTGTTATAATATGCAATGCATTTGTCATTATATGCTGTCCATTCGTCATTATATGCAATTCATTCGCCATTACATGCTGTTCATTTGTCATAATATGCAATGCATTCGTTATTATATGCTGTCCATTTGTTATAATATGCAATGCATTCGTCATTATATGCTGTCAATTCGCCATTATATGCTGTCCATTTGTCATTGTATGCAATACATTCGTCATTATATGCTGTCCAGTCGCCATTATATGCTGTCCATTTGTCATTATATGCAATACATTCGTCATTATATGTTGTCCATTCGCCATAATATGCTGTCCATTCGTCATTATATGCTGTCCATTTGTCATTATATGCTGTCCATTTGTCATTATAGGCAATACATTCATCATTATATGCAATACATTCGTCATTATATGCTGTCCATTTGTCATTATATGCAATACATTCGTCATTATATGCAATACATTCGTCATTATATGCTGTCCATTTGTTATAATATGCTGTCCATTCGTCATTCTATGATCCCTGGCCTAAGGACGCCTCTTGGAGGCGCCCTTCCCTTGTTTTATTTCCCAGAGCACAACGCGACTTCCTGTTTTTGGAAGCGTGTGCAACACTGGTGTAACGATCGAAATAACCATGGAAAATATTTTGAGTGAAATTGGTCTTTCAGCTCTGCTAGACACCTTCAATCAAAGAATTGAACCAATAACTGTTGGTTCTATGACGGATGGTGAGCCAATTAGGATGGGGGTTACGATCGGTGACCGCCATCGCTTACAAGGTCTCTGTAAGCAGATTGGCAGTGGCACTTCCGGTGCCAGGCAGGGCGTAAGTCCAAGAGATGTAATTCGGGAACGGAGTTCTTTGTTTAACCCCTACAGGGGTAACCGAACCAGTGGACGTAGAGGGACAAGCCGAAGTGGATCCTCGTCAACCACAGTGTCACGACGTTGAACCTATTCCTAAACTGTTTGTTTGGCAGATAGATACCAGACGAGAGTTCCGTCACCAATAGAACGGCAGATTCTAGATAATGCTAGTATTGGTGTGAAAAAGATTCAGTTTTATGTTGATGATAACGAAGAAGATGTATTAGACACCTTAACGAAAGAGTTCCCTCAATTAAAGGACTGTGGTGGTTTTGAACTGCTTCAATGTATTGGTAACTGCAGGTCATGTTCAGTCATTGAATGTACATGGAGTATCGCAGCTTTAAAACAATGTTTGAGCAACCAGGGGGAAATGTATATCCGGCCTATACAGCAACATTTTAGTACGAAAGCTGTTGTTGATGTTGTGTCACCACGATTGAAAGCTAAATGCAAAGGTTGTAACCAGGAATTCAACATGTTCGAACTTCGATAGCATGTTCAAATTTGTTCAGATGACAGTGAACTGTTAATTTCACCGTTTCAAGACAATGAGGTACCGGTAAGTTCATTTTGTATCATGTCAATTATGCCCAAAACATACTTTATCCGCTGTTTTTCCATTGGTTTCATAATTTGTTAAAGCAGAACACCCCCTAGTGTCGCCTGGCTCTTTTGGCCGGGGTCACTACTGTGCTATGAGACGCGGCCTTAGACGCACGTGTTTTCGCTGACAAGCTGAGCCGGGGTACGTTCCCACCTCAGTGACGCAGACTGGACATCCTCCACCCTCTTTGTTCAGGGAATGGTGGGTACAGTCTTGGAGCTTCGGAGTGCAATGAACTAGAGGGTTCAGATCGAATCCGCTAGCCAGTTGGCCCTGCCATGTGCTATTTAATACATTGGGAGTCAAATCGCATCATTATGCACCCACGAAAGTTGAATTCTGACTTGCTTCGTCTCTTCCTGGTATCGGTCTGTTTACCAAGGAGGCAGCCATATTGGATTGCCGTAATGACCCAGCTGGGTCAGTTTCCCGTGATGCATTGCACGAAGACAAGGTCGCGATGTTGAAATTCATATTTTGAACCGTGGAACATGACCCTTGTACCGTTTGACGTAAATCGTTGATTTCACGACCTAAACTTGTATCGGCGTCCAAGTTAGGCACTTCAGTATCAGAAATGTTATTTTCTTGAATTCAAATATTAGTTTCATTGTTACAAATCTCGATATTCCGCCTGTTGTCCGATGACGCTACCAATATCGGCCGGGAGGTAGAAGTCTCATGCTCTCTCGATTGTCCTGCATTAAGTTCATAAATTTTGATAAATGATTTCCGTGATAGTCCTGCTGGTAAATTGAA